GGCCTAAGGCCTATAGCCTGGCCTATGTGACTCTATGGAGATCTATGTGACTGCTTTTCAGGATCCTAGATAATGGGAAGGACCGAACTCCTGCCGGTTCTCACGCAGAATTCCACGGAGAATCTAGGGGTTCTAGGTCTGCTCAACCATGACCCAGGATACCCTTATGCAGTCCCACAGTGGTGCACCCCTATAATCCCAATCCTGGGAGGTAAAGGCAGGAGAATCAGGAATCCAAGGTTATTCTTGGCTGCCTGTGGTCCTGACCCTGTCTCAAAGAAAGGAAGAAAGAAAGAGAGAGAAGAGAGAGAGAGAGAGAGAGAGAGAGAGAGAGAGAGAGAGAAAGGAAGGAAGGAGGAAGGAAGAAAACCGGGTATGCTGGTACATTCCTTTAATACCAAAACATGGATTCTGTAATCCAGCCTGGTCTACATAGTGAGTTCCAGGACAGCCAAGGCTATGTAGAGAGGCCTTGTCTCAAAAAAGAAGAAAGGAAGGAAGGAAGGGGAAGGGAAGGAAGAAAAACAGAAAAGAGGAGGAGAAGAAAAAGAGAAGGAAAAGAAGAAAGGAAGATGAAAAGGAAAAAGAAAAAAGAAAAGGAGGGGTGAGGAGAGAAATGGGGAGGGGAGAACAGGGCAGAACTGGGTAGGCAGAAAGTGGGCGGAGCTGAGGGGATCCTGCTAGCTTCCATCCCCACCCATCATTCTGTGTTGCATCACAAAGACCCAGCCTCACCCAAGTCTCACTGGACAATGAGACTCAGGTTACTTGCAGTTCTCTGTGCTGTTCACTCTTCCCGTCACCCAGGGCCTCCCCACTGTGCCTCCCCATGGGAAAGCCACCCAACCCTGCTCATGCTTCCAGTTCAGCTCCAGTCTGAGATTAATTCAGTCCTGCCATCCATGGCCTGTTCCAAGCCCTCTAAGAAAGCTGTGTCAGCTGTGTGCAGCTGGGAGACACATTGCTGAAGTCTCTGTGGTTCTTTGGGACATGCCCATATTGGAGTGCTGGCATCGAATGTCCAGCACGTTCTCTGACCACATACACCTGGTACATCACCCAAGACACTCTTGGGACAGAGATGGAAGTACTGAACCATGGGAATATCCTTTCAAAAACTGTTCTGTTGCTCAGGTGATAGATGGTGACATCGGGAGTCAGGGCAGGGGTGCAATGGAATCCTGGGAAACTCCCTTTCCTGAATGATGCTAGATTATCAGCAGTGTGTCTTGGACTGGAGCAAGGGAAGAGTGACCAAGGCCTTTCAGGGTGTCCCCAAGGGTTTCTCAAAGTTAAATTTCACCATTAATGAATTGTTCTTTGGGTTAGTGTTAAGGTTTGGTCTGTCACTATGTATTGTAATGCTAAGTGTGGGTGCCCGAGGCCTGGTTGTCCCAGAGTCGAGAGAGTCTGCCTGTAGACCTGAGAGATGCTAAGTGACCTTGCTCTCAAGTTGTTTCTGATTGGTGAATAAAGATGCCTAAAGCCTATAGCTGGGCAAAATTGAGATAGGCAGGGTTTGGTGTTCCAGGACTTGTGGGTTGGAGGAGACCACAAAGCAGAAGAGAAGAAGGTGGAGAGAGGAAAGACGCCATGGGTTAGGAGTCAAGAAAGCATGGATGGCCATGGGCTGGAGAGATGGCTCAGAGGTTAAGAGCACTGACTGCTCTTCCAGAGGACCTGAGTTCAATTCCCAGCAACTACATGGTGGCTCACAACCATCTGTAATAGGGATTTGATGCACTCTTCTGGAGTGTCTGAAGACAGATGCAATGTACTCACATACATGAAATAAATAAATAAATCTTTAAAAGAAAGGAAGAAAGAGAGAGAGAGAGAGAAAGAGAGAGAGAAAGAGAGAATTGGAGTTCAGAGCAGCCCAGATGGAAATGTAGTAATAATTCAGGGTTTTCGATAGGAAATAGATTTTCATAGCATAGAGGGTAGATATCTGGTCAGCATTAGTACTAATAAAGGCTTATTATAAATATAAAGGTCATATGTGTCTTTTATCTGGAAACTGAATGATCAAAGGCAGGGTAAAATCCCTGCTTTGGAACTAAATATTTTCAACAACAGATTGAAACCCGAGCACAGGAATCTTCTTTATCAGAATTCACTTTTTTTTTTCCTTCTTTCTTTTTTCTTTCTTTCTTTTTTTGTTTTTTGTTTTTTTGGTTTTTCGAGACAGGGTTTCTCCGTATAGCCCTGGCTGTCAGCTCGCTTTTCAAGTGGACAATTAACGTAACTAATTAAACACCATGCTAAGCATTGCATTTTAACTAATTTATTTAGGTATGTGAATGTATGTATGCATGCATGTATGTATGTATGCATGCATGTATGTATGCATGTATGTATGTATGCATGTATGTATGTATGTATGCATGCATGTATGTATGCATGTATGTATGCATGTATGTATGCATGTATGTATGTATGCATGTATGTATGAATGTATGTATGTATGCATGTGTGAATGTATGTATGCATGCATGTATGTATGTATGCATGCATGCATGTATGTATGTGTAAGGCTGAGGACGGCTTGTAGGAGTCCATTCTCTCCTACTGTGAGCCCGGGGAATTGAACTTGGGTCCAGCTAGCACCTTTACCTTCTGAGCCATCCCTCCAACCCCACAGTCTGTTTATTATCCTAGTCCTTTCTTCATGCAGCCTTACACGGTGCTGTCATTTCAAATTTTATTTACTTATTTATCTTTATTTGTGTGAGTGCTTTGCCTTCACATATGTCTGTGCACCAGATGCATGCCCGGCACCTGCAGAGGCCAGAAGAGGGCGTCAGATCCCCTGAAACAGGAATTAGAAATGGTTCTGAGCTGCCTGCCATGTGGGTGCTGGGAATCAAACCCGGGTCCTCTGGAAGAGCAGGCAGTGCTCTTACTTCTGAGCCATCTCTCCAGCTCCCATATGAGATGCTGTCTTGCTTGCTTTGTTTTATAGCTGGGGACACCTGCCACAGAGAGCAAGGGATTGGCCTAAATCCTTGCCAGTGGGAAAGGCCAGACTTGATGCCAGGTCTAGCAAGACATCCCTGCCTTCCAGGAGCAGCTTATGTACCTGAGTGACGGACAGGGCTCTGAGCTGATGAGCACAAGGAGTAAGGGGTGCAGAGGATAGCCCCAAAATCACACAAATACTACAAAGTCTTCAATGTGTGTTTGGGCTTTGAAGGATGAATAGGAGTTGGGTAGGAGAGAGAGCCCCTGTGGGGTGACTGTCAGAGGAAAATTCAAATAAACGCCCAGCCCAGGACCACAAGGAGATGGAGCTGTTCAACTCAAGAGCTCAGTAAGGCCCATGTGATCACTCTGAAGTGCCATGCCAGTGTCTTAGGCATCCGTTGCTGTTCCTGGGAACCTCCCTGGTCGCCATCAGCATCCTAGCTAGCGGCAGATGCTTAGATGCTTTTCTTAGTCTGGACTGCACCACGCCTGGGGCATTCCCACACAACATTCCAGATGCTCACTCCCCACAGCCTCAGGCCCAGAGGAAGGCCAGTTATGAGGGTTCCATCCCAGTCAGCAGCCAGCTTTCTCCAATGTGGTCCTCTTCTCTGAACCCTGACGCCCAGTTAGAAAAAACATCGGGGAAAATCCATGGGGCAGGGTTACCCAAGATAGTTACCAGGGGCTGGAAGTCCTGTTCTCTTACACACACACACACACACACACACGTTCATACACACAGACACTCATGTGCACAAGCAGGCTAGACAAAACCAATCTTAAAACTCACTGGATCCAAAACCATCTTTCCGAGGAATGCATAAACTTGATTTAATACTGGCTTTGACATGGGATTCCAGGTGCTGAAGCCCCGAAATACCTTGGAATGTGCTAGAACAAAGTATAAGGCACCCTGTCTTGGCCTACCCTTGCCCACAGCCATCTGGTTGGCAGTTGTTGAGTAAGACCCTGGATTTCCAGCAGACTCTTGCAGAAAGTCTGATGTGTCTGTTCAGGTCAGGAGCCAGGCCCGCTGCTCCCATACTCAGCCAGTGTCCAGGTGGCAGCTTATGACGAGGCTAGCCCAGGAGTAGAGGTGGCTGAGGACAGGGCCCTGGGAGCCACGTGCTTAGCTGACAGGTCACTTCAGAGGTTGAAGGATGGAGGCATTCCACCCATTCTGATAGATGAAGACCCTGCCCCAGGCTCATCAGAGGGGCCTCCGAGAGCCATCTCACGACACCAAGAAAAAGCTCCTGTGGTGAAAACAGTGTGATTTCTCTGGATTCTTTGAGATGAGAAAAAATGACCAGGTAGCAGCATCTTCATCCCAGATCTCAATTCTTCTAGAACCAAGAGCCAGCCATGGCAGAGCAGAGTGCCGGGAGCTGCTTGAAATATATGCCTTGGTCTCCCTGCACTGCCTCCAAACAGCTCGCTTCAAGAACCTCCTCAAATACGGACAAGAGGGAAGAGAAGGCAATGGTGGTTAGAGATGAGCATGCTCCTCCATACAGTGACTTCTAATAGCTATACCGTGATCCTGTTTTCCATCATGAGCACAGAATCGATTAGTAATGTCTGCATGGGACACTATGTTGAATTCTACTGTTACACACATGCTGCAATTGATTGGTGATGCCTGTCATGGTCAGGGATATTCCCCACCTGTCATCTATAATGCTAAGTCACTTTCCCCTGAAGCAAAAAGGGAGGCCCTCAAGACCTTAAAAATTAGCTTTTGGATGATCATTCCCTATTTGGCCCTTTTTTGAAGATGTTAATATTGGTTATAGTAAAAAAAAAAATGCCTAAAGTAGAAATACAGTACAGAATTAATTTCTCCTCCATGGAAATGACTAAATGTTTTCTTCCTTACTGGAGATTCAAAAGATGGTCTGTCTGTCACTGAAAGGGACCTTAGACCCATGAAGAATTCCATCCAGGAAAAGACAGGCAGATCTTGGCACAGTTCACTTCCCATGATGCTTTGATCCCAAAGTCCAAATGACCCATGGAGTCTGGGCCACTCATTTGGACACCTTGGTCTGCAGTGTGCTGGGCAGATACAGGTACCTCCAGATGGCATAGTAGTGGGTACCAGCACCAAATGCCACAAAGAGGTGCCAGATGGCATGGGCAAAGGGAATTCTCCCGTCACTCTTAAAGAACACCATGCCTAGGCAGTAGAAAGCCCCTCCTGTCATCAGCTCCCAGATGCCATCCGTGTTGGGCTGTTGGAAGAAAAGGATTGGAGACAAATTAGAGGAAGAGCGGTCACTCCCCATCACCCAGACAGAAAGACATACAAGTGGAGAACAAGCCCAGAGTCCCCAAGGAAGTCTCAACACGGACCTATCAAATTTTCCCACCTTAATTTCCCAGATCTGCAATTGGTTGAAGATGGCAACCTGGACCCTCAGAGGCTCAGCACTTGGGAGAAGGCAAATGCAGCAGGATTAGAAGTCCAGGGTCAGCCTGGGCTACACTGGCTCTGCCTCAATAAACAGACCCCCAAATCTCAAAAGCTACTTTTATAGTATAGCATATTTATGGGGAACTTAAGCAAAATATTGAGACCCTGCAAAAAGAAGGAGGAGGAAGAAGAAGAGGAGGAGGAGGAGGGGCTGGGGATACAGCCTAGTATTAAAGCACTTGCCTAGACTGTACAATGCCCTGGGTTCAAGCCCCATCACTGTGTGTGCATGTGCACATACACACACACATACACAGGCACACATGGGTGCACACACATGCATGCACATGCACATAGGCACACACACGCACTCAAGCACATGCACGCACACAGACACACACACACACATGCAGGCACACGTACACACACCCCCACACACACATGGTCAGTTAGTGTGCCCATATCATGGGATGTTATTCAGCCTTGAAAAGGATGGCTGTTCCGGACACAAGGAACAGTGTGGAGGAGTTTCAAGGACACAGTGCTAAGTGAAATAAGCCAGGCATGAAAGGATGGCTACCATAAAATGTGACTGTCCCAAAGTAGCCAAGTCCACAGAGACAGAAATAGGAGGCTTGGATGGAGGGATAGTTCACAGGACCATCCTCCAAGCCAAACTGCTGCCATCCTCGGGGGTTTTGACTTGGCCTGCTCAGCAAAGATCACAACAACTGGACTTTCTGAATGCTGACATTCCTTCTTAGAAAGAGGGGTCAGGGAGGGATATGGTACCCTCACCTCATCCCTCCCAACAAGTTATATGCGAGTCTGTCCTAATTGTCCATGATCTTGAAGTCTCTGAGAAGGGCTATAGGTGGAGACTCCATCTACACAGCCACGGGGGTCATTACACAGGTTGGATGTAGACATTCAGTGTGGCTGCTTTAAAATCACCCACACATCTGCCCATAAGCCATCATCCACTGCCCTGCAAGCAAGCCTCGCCTGGACTCTGGTGAACTCTAGAAAGGGTAGATGTTTACATCTTCCCGGAGAAAGGAATTTTAGCAGTAGAGGAGAAAAAGTATTCTTTGTGAGTGTGTGTGTGTAGATGCCCAAGGAAGCCAGCAGAGGGCGCTAGATACCCTGGAGCTGGAGTTCCAGCTGTCTGTGGGCTGCCTTATGTGGGTGCTGGGATTCACATGCCCCTCGCCTTACTGACACACAGGTTCTAATCCTCTTTAGGTCAGTCAGGTTCTACCATCCTGTCTTTCCATGACTCAAACAGCCATGACACAAAGTCTCTTGGAGAGTGGGCAAGTGGCGCCTGCCTGCAACCACAGCACTGAGTAGGCAGAGGAAGGAGGAGCTCAGGGGCAGCCTGGGCTACAGAACAAGCCTCTGCTGCACACAAACAATACAAAACAAAACAGAGAAGAGAACTGGACATGAGAATGCCATTCGGCCTTGAAAGGGGAAGAATAGTCTACATAAGGAATTTGATGTTAGCCTGGACTACGTGAGACTCTCAAAAAAAAAAAAAAAGTATTTCTTAGAGATCTTAAAGATGCCGCGTGGTGCTCAGGGTTAGCTGCCGACTTGACCCGATCTAGAATTACCTGGGAAGAAGGTCACAGGGAAATCTCTAGATCAAGTTGTTCTGTGGGGTTGTCTGTAGGAGATTGTCTTAGTCATCGTCATTGATGTGTGATGACCTGTCCTAAAAAGGGCCAGCACCGTTCTCTGGGTTGAGTCCTGGGCTGTGTACCAGTAGAGACAGTAAGCTGAGCTCTGAGCTGCATTCATTTTTCTTTGCTCTTGGATGTGACTACCTCCTGCTAGGTCCTGGCTTGGCTTCCCCTCAGTGATGGACTATAACCTGGAACTGTGATCTGAACAAAGCCTTTCTTTCCTAATCTGCTTTATAAAGATGATTTTATTATTTAGATAACTCTGTATGCGTGTGGGAGGGGATGCACGCGCACCATTTGTGTGCAGTGCCCGTGGAGGCCAGAAGGGGGCACCAGATCGCCTGAATCTGGAGTTAAAGGTGTTTGTAAACCACCTTTACATGGATGTGGGTCCTAGGAACCAAACACATGTCCTCTGTAAGAGCCACAGCTGCTTTTAACCATTGAACTATCTTCTCAGTTCAGCCCTCTAAGGTGCTTTTTGTCACAGCAACAAAAATGAAACTAAAACATTTTAGGTGGTGTTGTGAACGGTCCAAGACACCAAGGCTCCTACACACACACACACACACACACACACACACACACACACACACACACGTATTCCCCAGTCCTCAAGAGTATTGTAGCTGAATATTAACCACATAGTAGTCATAACACCCAGTGTTTCCTAGCAGGTACAACAGGCCATGCACCATGGTCAGTCAGTACCTTACTTAAACTGTCTGGTCGCCTTTACAGAATATGGAGACCTAATCTCAGAGTTAGGCACAACAGATGCTCCACTTCCCCAGTGAGATCTCCATGTTTTCTGTTCCTCTGGGCAAGCACACAGACCCACTATGCCTGTTTCCTCTGCTGCCAGAGGAGAGGGCTTTATTGATAGTCTCGAGACAGGTCTTATGAATGCAAGTGTTCCCTCCAGAAGACCAAAGTCCTCATGATGGGCAAGTGAAACTTACCATGGAGAGGATGACCAGGGCGGGGAAGAAACCCATCACCACATAGCAAAGCAGCTCCACAAGCTTGTACCTGAGAAGACAAGTCATGTGACCTCAGGACAAGCTTTCAAAGAGGGTCAGAGCACACAATGTTCTGATGCTGAAGATTAGCACAGCAAGAAGAGGAGATCTTCTCAGCGTGGCACTCCTTGGCACATATTCTACCCAGTAACATCAACAGATAATGGGAGTTGTGTGCCGCCGATGTGTGACCTACGCAGACATTACTAATTAATCCCAGCACCATCTCCCACAGGTCCCAAGCAGCCATTCTCAATTGTGCTGAACTGCTAGAACAACCGAGCCCTATGCCATTCTGGATTGCTTGTCTCCTACAGTCCCTGGAGGCTCTGTGGATGTAGAACTTTGTTATTTTCTGATGCTTCCCTAGCTTCTCTTTCCTCTCCCACTTGATGACGCTCATGCTAGTTCCACAGTAGTAAATGGTTTTGAGTATGTACCCTCTTGAAGCCTTTCCCTATTATCCAGTAACACAGTCTAGGAAAGGCAGGTGACAGGTGAACTAGATCACTGGGTCAAGTTACCTACGAAGTTATTTTAAAAAGTCTGGAGAGGACAGCGTGCTAGAAAAATGGCTCAACAGTTAAGAGTATTTCTAGTTGGGTTCCCAGCACCACCCTGGGCAGCTCACAGCCACCTATAACTCTAGCTCTAGGGGATCTGACAGCCTCTTCTGGACTCCTTGGGCACTGTACTGGCTGGTTTGGAGTTAACACAGAGAAAGAAGCTTCATTTGAGGAAATGCCTCCGTGAGATCCAGCTGTAAGGCATTCTCTCAATGAGTGACCAAGGGTGGGAGGTCCCATTGTGGGTGGTGCCATCCCTGGGCTGGTAGTCTTGGGTTCTATAAGAAAGCAAGTTGAACAAACCAGGGGAGCAAGCCAGTAAGTAACACTCCTCCATGGCCTCTGCATCAGCTCCTGCTTCCTGACCTGCTTGAGTTCCAGTCCTGACTTCCTTTGGTGATGAACAGCAACGTGGAAGTGTAAGCTGAATAAACCCTTTCCTCCCCAACTTCCTTCTTGGTCCTGATGTTTGTGGAGGAATAGAAACCCTGACTTAGGCCCCTACACACATGTGTGCATATACATTCATACAGATGTACATAAAGGAAATTTAAAACTTTTGTGTGTGTGTTTCTGTGTGTCCAGATGCATATCTGTGTGAGGCGTGTGTGCATGAGTATGGAGGCCAGAGAAGAGCCTCTTGTGTCGTTCCTCAGGGGATGACAACCTTGAGAAAGGGTCTCCCATTGACCTGGACCTTGCCAAGTAGGATAAGCTGGGTGATTGCAAGCCCTGGGAATCTCGTCTCTACCTTCTCAGCAGTAGGATGATGGGTATACCACTGTGCCCAACTTTTAAAGTGTGTCCTGGGGAGCAAAGTTAGGTTTATGCTTGAATAACTGAAACTTCACCAACAGAGCCATCTTCCCAACACCCTCTTTCGGAAGACACTTAGGGCCCAGGGAGATGGCGTCATTGGCAAAGGGCTTTCTGTGCAAGCATGAGGACCTGAGTTCAGATACCTGCAGCCCCATAAAAGCCAGGTCATGATCACACACATCTGTACTCTCATCTCTAGCAGAGAAGAGTCGGGGTTCCCAGAGCTCGCTGGCCCACCAGGCTAGCTAATTGGTGAGCTCCGGGTTCAATGAGAGACCCCGTCTCAGAAAACAAGGTGGAGTGGTTGAGGAGGTCACTCAGCATTATGCTCTGGCCCCTATGTGCGCATGTGCACCCACACACACACACAAACACACACACACACACACACAGAGAGAGAGAGAGAGAGAGAGAGAGAGAGAGAGAGAGAGAGAGAGAGAGCTAGCTTCAGATCTGTTCCTCTTGCTCATGGGGCCTGGTGTACACCCATGGGCTCCTCAAGGGTAGGATGCAAGCAAGGCTGGGTCATCCTTGAGGCTCACCTACTTGTGGGTGCTGAAGAACTAAGGGACACTTTGCCAGTCTGAGACTCCCCAGCCCTCACTTACCGTTCATGGAAGAAAAAGACATAGACGGTACCGATGGAGGCCATGATCCAAACCAGCCAGCGCATGTGGGAGGCCCAGGGACCCAGCTCCCGAAGGTTCAGCCTGAGAGAGAAGAAAGCCAAGGGCAGAGCCTGAGGGAACCATCATAGCCCAGCACAACACGGCCAGTCTGTCTCAAGAAGCTGACACCAGAGCGGCCCAGTCCCCAGTGGCTGCCTAGGAGGAACGAGGGCTCTCACAATGGCAGGGTAGAACGCTACACAAACTGCATTGGCAAAGTTGCGATGGTGGCACACGCCCATCATCCAAGCACTCAGGAGGCTGAGGCAGGAGAATCACCAGTTTCAGGCCAGTGTGAGCTACACACGTGAGACAAGACCCAGACAGAAACTAACGTCACAGCTGGAAAGACAGTCAGTAAAGTGCCAGTCACTTAAGCATGAAGACGTGAGTTCAAATCCCCAGAACCCACATAATCTCCAGTGACAGGGAGACAGATGCAGGGGGATCCCTGGGGCTCACTCAGCAATCAGTCTAGCTGAATAGTGAAGGGTAGGTAACCTGCTAAGTCAACTTGGTTGGTTGGTTAGTTGGTTGGTTGGTTGGTTGGTTGGTTGAGGCAGAGTCCCTCTACCTAGCCCTGGCTGGCCTGGAAGTCACTCTGTAGTCCAGGCTACTTTCAAACTCACAGAGCTCCACCTGCTTCTGCCTCCGAAGTTCTGGAATTAAAGATGTGAACTCCTGGTTCAGACTAAGTCATCTTAAAGGCCCTATTCACAGGCATTTTAAAGTAGAAATCCCAGCACCCAGGAGGCAGAGGCTGGTATTTCTGAGTTTGAGGTCAGCCTGGTCTACAGAACAAGTTCCAGGATGTCCAGGAACACACAGAGAAACCTTATCTTGAAAAAAATAGAAAAATTAAGAGTATAGACTGTTTGAACCAACATGGTGAAATACACAGAGCCTATTATAGATGTTGGAGCTGGGAGATCAGTCAAGAGTAGAAAGCTTGAGTTTGGAGACATGGCTCAGTGGTTATGTGCATTTGTTGGGTCAGCTACAGTGGAACACACCTTTGGTCTCAACAATGGAGAGGCAGAGCCAGGTGGAACCAGGCCATCCAAGGTTACAGAGTAGACCCTTCAGAGAGAGGAAGACAGGGAGAGAGGGAAGGAGGGAGAAAGGGAGAGAGGAGAGAGGGAGGGAAAGAGAGAGAGACAGATTTGCTGCACTTGCAGAGAATCTAGGTTCAAGTCCTCACATTAGCCACCTGTAACTCCTTTTCCAAGGAGCTTGGTGCTCTCCTGTGGCCTGCACAGGTACCTGTATGCACATGGGGCACATACACACATTGTCACACATAGACACCTAATTAAAAATAAACAAATACCTATGCGAGCATATGCACAGGCATATGTATATGAATATATATATATATATGGTATATATGTATATGTTTATATTATATATGTTTGTAAATAAATGTACATAGCGTGTTGGAAAGAGAACAAGGCTGAAGATTATGGGATGGGAGAGAATGGAACACTGCAGCAAATGTGAGTTGTGAAAGAGGGGATATATATGTAACTGATAGTTTTTCTGGCTCTAACTGTGTCATGGATTTTCTGTTTGGGGTGACGGATACATGCATAGAAATACATTCCATAATAAACATGAAGCCCCAAGGCAGCCGTTCCAAGTGGCTACTCTAACTGTATACAAGCTCGCCGAGATGTCGAGACCTGGGATATGGTTCATTTTGGCACGTGCTTTTATTTAAGCAAGTTCTCATCATAAAGTTTATACATTTTGAAGCAAAAATAATAAATCTTCAAAGGGAGGAAGAAGTATAGCAGGGCCTGAGCGATGGCTCACCGGTTAAGGGCACAGGTCTTCCAGAGGACCTGAGTTCACTTCCCAGCACCCACATGGTGGTTCACAGCTGCCTGTAACACCAGTTGCAGAAGGTCTGACACCCTCACACAGACATAGACACACATGAACCCAAAACAACAATGCTCATAAAATAAAAATAATTAAAATTTAAAAAAAAGGATAGCCGGGCAGTGGTGGCGCACGCCTTTAATCCCAGCACTTGGGAGGCAGAGGCAGGTGGATTTCTGAGTTCGAGGCTAGCCTGGTCTACAGAGTGAGTTCCAGGACAGCCAGGGCTACACAGAGAAACCCTGTCTCGAAAAAAAAAATAGCAATGCGGTGGTTGGTGCTGTCAACAAGATGAAATCTAGAGTCACCTAGAAGGGCCTGAGGATGGCTGCAAGGGGCGATCTTACATATGTGCACAGGTATAGGGAGATTCGTCCAGGACGGGTGGAACCATTTTTCTTCAAGTTCCTGCTGTTTCCCTGAACTAAGAGCTGGAGTAAACACTTTCTCCCTTAAGTTGCTTTGATCAGTGGATCTATCACAGCCAAGGGAGGAGGGTAAGACAGCGAGGTTATACGCTTTGCACACGAGGTAAGTTACATGTAAATGCAGGGCGTCTTAGAAAAAAGACACAGTGATGAAGAAGAACCTTTAACTCTTTGCTGGAGTGAATTTCTTGGATGAGAAAGCCTTTAACAGTTTTTAAATTATGTATCTGTGGGTGTGGGGGAGTGCCAGTGGAGGCCAGAAGAGGGCGCCGTACTCCTTAGAACTGGAGGCTTGGGTGGTTGTAAGCTTCCAACATGGATGCTGGGAGCTGAACTTGGGTCCTCTGCAAGAGCGGGTGCTCTCAACTACTGAAAGAAAAGAGAGGGAGATGAAGAGAGAGGAGGATGAAGGAGACGATAGGGTGATGGTGATAACAAGGAGGAATCAGGCACTGAGTAGGAAGCCCTCTGCTCACTACGTCATCACAAAGGCGTTAAGTAGCTGGGCGTGCGGCCCACACTTGTAGTCCTGGCCCCTCAGGAAGACAGAAGTCAGAGGATCTGCTCACGGAAGTTCATGACCCGCCAAGGCTACACAGCAAGACCCCATCTCAGAAAGTGGGAGGCAGAATGTTTACCTAGCACTTGTGAAAGGAAGTCCGAGTTATACCCACATCACAGTAATTAAAAAAAAAAAAAAGTATCTCTCTGCTTTTTGTGTGGGAGAATCGTGATCATTCAAATTTCCGATCCGGCCTCAGCGAACAAGGTGAAGAAGGACGGAGGATGATTCCGGACTCACATATAAAATACGCATACACATATGTACATCACACATATATACCCACAGACACAGGTGCACATACACACAGGCACACAAACATACACGTACACACACACGCAAAGGACATTAGGCAGAAGGTAAAACTAGAAATAGCTACTTTGGGTTTTATTGTGTTTTTGAGACAGGAGCCCACCGTGTAGCCAGGGCTGGCCTTAAACTCTCCATCTCCCTGCCTCAGCCTCCCAAAGTCTGGGGTTGCAAGCACATGCCACACATTTGTCTAAACAAACACTTGACTATGTACAATATACATATGCCCTCCCCCTTTCATTGAGAGGGGGTATAGCTCAGTGATGGAGAACTGGTGTGATCTCCCAAACCACAGGGAGAAAAGGATAAAAATATTTTTTTTTTGAGATGGGGCCTCACTATGTAGCCCCGCTGACCTCAAACTGTCAAAGACTCACCTGCCTCTGCCGGCGTGGATTAAAGGCATGGATTAAAGGCATGCGCCACCACACCCAGGAATGAGTAAAGCTTTTAAAACATAAGTATAAGCCAGGCACCGTCATGCACATTGTAATCTCAGCACTTTGAAAGCGGAGGCAGGAGGATCAGAAATCCAAGGCCAGCCTCAGCCTCATAGGTAATTCATTCAAGGCTGAGACCCAGCCACACACACATGAAAAACTGAAAAATGAAAAACAACAAAAATTGCATGCATATCTGCAAATATGTGCAAGTGTGTCTATACACTTATATAGCCTTCGGCATCTACTTAAACCTGTGAATATATGCTAATATATGCTAATGTATGCACAACTCTTTGCATACACTTGCTCTTTTTTTTTTTCTCTCTCCCTTCAACTCTTGAGGGATATGCAAGGTAATAAGTAGATCATTCTTGGCATAAGAGTAAGGCTGAGCATGTCTTCTTACCTACTCCCCTGTCTGTGGTCACCAATCACCCACCCAAATTCTAAGCAGGAGAAGGAAGGCAGCCAGTGGGGGGTGCTGGCACTCACCAGGGAGCATAGGAGGCTGCGATGAAGAAGTAAATCACCATCCTGTCGATCATGTGCAGGCAGTGCTCTACCATCCTAGGGCAGGGAGAAAAGCTGGCAGGTCACAGCCTCTGTGTGCCAGCAGGGAAGCCCAGCCGCATCCCCAGCGTAGAGACAGCCTTGCCTTCCCTGGGGGGAGGCACCCACCCCACCCTCCAGCCACAACCTCTCGGCCTCTCCACTGGAGCAACAGTTTTCCAGGCTGCCTGCCATTCTGGTGGGTTATGGAGATACCTCAGGACTTCCATTAAGATGAATGCTAGCACACAGCTGTATATACACGTGTGTAGAGAGTGTATGTCCATGTGCCCTTTCGTGGGTTGGGCAGAGAGTACCTGAGATGGCTCTTCTTCCATGAGACTGTGTGGAAAATGGTGGACACCACAAAGAGGCCACAGAGGCCAAGGCCGTAGATCCAGGCGGATATGGTCTCCCAGTCATCGTCGGACAGGAAGTAGAGGTTGGAGCTGCCAAGGATGCTGGGAATGATCCAGAACTAGATGGAGAAAACACAGATCAGGGCCAGCCTTAAAAAAAATAGATATCTTTTTTTTCCACGAGGGAGAGTTTATTAAGAGAGTGGGAGAGCAAGAGGAGAGAGAAGTAGAGAGGAGTAGAGGCCAGCCATGACCACGTGGAGAGAGGGGGAAGAGAAGGGGGGAGGGGAGACAACAACCTGCAGGTGTGAGGGTCGAGAAGCAAGAGCAATAGGTATCTTTTATAAAGATTCGTTTTCTTTTTAATTTTGTGTGTGTGTGGTGTGGAGGAGGGGCTGAGGCAGCAGAGGCCAGAAGAGGACATTGGACCCCTAGAAGCTGGACTCTCAGATGGTTCTAAGACATCAGGCAAGGGTGCTGGGAAACACTCAGGTCCTCGGCAAGAGCAGTGTGTGTTCTTAACTCCTGAAGCATCTCTCTACCTCAAGGACCAACTCTTTGTGTGTAAGGAGCACAGTAGGCTCTTTGTGTGACTACGGCACTGGGTTATGCTTCTGCACGTGGAAGCTGTCATTTCTCAGCCATTGTTCACTCTGCTTGTTTGTTTTAAATATTTTTGTTCTGTGTGCATGCATGTGTGTGCACATGTGTGTGTGTGTGTGTGTACACTTGAGTCAGAGTGCACTATTGGAGATCAAACTGTGTGCATGCATGTGTGTGCGCATGTGTGTGTGTGTGTGTGTGCACTTGAGTCAGAGTGCACTATCGGAGATCAGAGTCAGTTCTCTCCTTCCACCATGTAGGTCTTGGGGGATTGAATTCAGGTCCTCATGCTTGTGTAGAAAGCCTGTTACCCACTGAGCCATGTCCACTGGAGAGCCTCAGACTTTTGAACAGTGCTCGGGGAGCACAGAGCCCCGGGATCTCTGCACTGACTCCCTCCCTTTCTCCTGATCAGCAGTTCTCACTCTGTGGGTCGAGACCATTGGAAAACACGTTTTTCTCATGTTCTTAGGATCCCCAAACCTTACATTTATTTCTGCTGCTACTTTATAACCGTTTTGCTACTGAGCAGCAGTGCCTCAGTACCTAAGGCCATTGTAAGTGTGTGTGTGTGTCTCTGTGTGTGTGTCTGTGTGTGTCTGTGTGTGTGTCTGTGTGTGTCTGTGTGTGTGTCTGTGTCTGTGTGTGTGTCTATGTGTGTGTTTTCCCGAAGCTACGACTCACAGGTTGAGAAGCCGCTGCTAGATTGTGCAGCACAAGACCTAGGTAACACAGTGCCCACCAAGCAGGCAAAAGATAACGGAGCCACTGAAGAAGTGATACGTTTTATTTCAGAGGAATAGATTCCATCTTCATTTTCCCAAAACTTTCATTGACACATAAAATGTACAAATTGTATTGAGTGCAAAAGAGACAACCCAGTGGTTAAGAACAATGGTTGCTCTTCCAGAGGACCCAGGTTCAATTCCCAAAACCCACATAGTGGCTCACAACTGTCTGTAACTCCAGCTCCAGGGGATCTGATGCCCTCTTCTGGACATTCTGGGCACCAGGCATGCACATAGTGAACAGACATACATCCAGGCAAAATATCCATAGACAGGAAATTACAACTACAAAATAAAACTCGTACATAATGAACTGGAGGGCTGGCTCGGGGGAATGGCACTTGTCACACAAGTGTGAAGAGCTGAGTTCGGATCCCAAGAACCCACAGAATGCCAGACAAGGTTGTTGGAAGCCGGTACAATCCAAGGCTTTCCCTGAGGCCCCATGTGTGGGGAAGGAACAAAGTTCGTTGTCTACAATCATGAACATGCTTGGCAGAGCCAGCAGTGGCCTGGGGCCAGAGTCTCGGGAAAGCTGTGACTCCAGACCTGGGAACCCAACTCTCCCCTACTAAGGGCTGTGCTTATCAGTCCCAAGGCCGCTGTGTGCCCAGTCGGTGACACACTGGAGACATGCTGTGTCCCTTTTGTGCAACATTGCTTGATTAGCTTCCTACTGACTCCATCTGACTGTATGATAGATTTCTGCTGACTCAGTCCCATTTGCCCTTATAAGCAGTGTATGAGATGCGCTGACGGAATACGGCTTAAATCCCAGCACTCAGGAGGCAGAGGCACTGGGATCAGCTGTGAGCCCAGCCTGGGCTACAGAGTGAGTTTCAGGACAGCCAGGGCTACACAAAGAAACCGGTCTCTGGAGAGAATGCTTCCTAATAAACTTACAGTGTGAGTCACGAGTGCTTGCAGACCTCCTGACTTCAGTGTTCTGTCTTCTTGATCTGCCCCCTCAACAACTCTATTTAGGACCCTGATTCCTGTGGTTTGGGTCACACGGTACCACATGTCTATAACCCTGAGACTTCTATATTATCCCAGCAGTTCCACAGTGAGTTGACAGAATGCCCAGATATGCATGGACCAACTAGCCTGGGCTACACCAGTGAAACAGAGACCATGTCAAGCAAAGTGGAAGGTGAGAAATGACACCTGCGATTGTCCTCTACCCTCCACACCTGCGTGCTCACACTCTTACATACAAACACACACACACACACACACACAGATTTTTTTTAAAAAGTTGTATGTGAAAATGTGGAACCATGAAATTTCTGTTTGAAAATGGATCGCTCAGCAGACTAGGCTCAAACACATAACTATCTCCTGTCTCAGCCTCCCAAAGGCTGGAGTCACAAGCCTGTGTCACCACACCTGGTTCTATGCAGAATTTCTCCTCTCTTTCCTCTTCTTCTTTCTCTTCTTCATCATCATCACCATCACCATCTTCCTCCTCATCTTCTTCACCATCACCATCTCCATCATCATCAATTAGGTACTTATTTTTAATTATGTTTGGGGGTGGTGCATGTGAGTGCAGGTACCAATGGACGCCAGAAGAGGGCAGTAGAGTCCCCTGAAGGTTGAGCTATAGGCTGTTGTGAGCTATCTGCTATGAGTGCTGGGAACCAAACTCAGGTCAAAGACAGCTACCTTCTTAAACATTTACCATTGCTTTAGGATGAAAACATTCAAAAGTCCTTTTAGGTTTGTTTGCAGTGCTGGGGGTGGTACCCAAGGCCTTTCTCATGCTGTTCAAGGCTCTACCAACTGACCTACGTCCCCAACCTTCTTTCAAGGTTTTGGAAACGTACAGTTCCATAGTTGTGTTGGTAGAGGGCTTGTGCGTCATTCCCAAATGACATTCCCAGCAGCACATAAAACAGACATGGTAGTGCACACCTGGAACCCCAGTACTCAGGAGGTGTGGACTGAAGGAAAAACTAGAACTCAAGTTCATCATTAGCTACACTGAGTTTGAGTCTAGCCTGGGCTACATGAGACCCCCATCTCAAGAAGAGTCAGCACAGGGGAAGAGGCTGGCCACCTCACCAGCTGGTTATAGAGAATGAGCCCCTGAATTCTTTACCTTTCCAAATCTGTGACCTGTCTCTCTCAAAACCTTCCATCTTTCGTCACGAGAGTACCAGAAACCGTTGAACAACTGGCATTTGTATAGCAAGGTAGTGAGGGGGACCTACTCAGGCCTCCCCTGCATCTGGGCAAATGGGGGCGCTTTAGAAAGGAACATTTCAGCAAGACCATGACAAATGGAAAGGGTTGAATAGGCAGGCTGGATCAGGGTGGCAAGTGTCCCAGGGAGGGAGACACCGTGTGCAAAGGCATGAAATCGTGGGAACGGCAAGCAAGTCAGGGGCTCTGGACAAGAGTGTGGCGTAGGCGGTGTGAGCAGAGAGCTGGGGCCTGCCAGAGACAATCCAGAGTGGGTACATGCTCTGCTGGGTACTAGGAAGCCACCAGGGCTTCTCTGAGTGAGAGACATACTCAGTTCTACAGTCTGTGGTGCTACAGGGGGTCTGCCTTTAGATCCTAGTCTCCCTACGGGACCCCAAGAGATTAGAGAAGCAGGTCACCCTGGAGTGGGTCGAGAAGGACCAGCAAGACGACTCCATCAGTATTCCCTGCACAGCATGAGGACCTGAGTTCAGATCCCAGCACCCATGTCAAAAGCTTAGCCACTTGGAGTGTGCTTGGAAGCCCAGTACTGGGAAGCAGATACAGGTGGATCCCTGGAGTCAGCAGCATGAGAGCATCCCATAAAATAAGATGGGTGGGCCAAAGTGCTTTTTATGAAAGCCTGACCTCTGAGCCCCACACTGCAAGTGGAGAGCTGACCCCTGAAAGTTGTCCTCTGACCTCTGACCTCCACACATGCGCACCCACACACAAATAAATAATAAATAGCCAAGAGATAGATGTCTTTGTTTTCTTTCTTTCTTTCTTTCTTTCTTTCTTTCTCTCTTTCTTTCTTTCTTCTCCCCCTCCTCTCCCTCCTCCTCCTTTTCTGCCTCCTCTTCCCCCTTCTCCTTTTTGAGACAGGATCTCTCTATGTGGTTCTGGTTGTCCTGGAGCTCACTGTGTAGACTAGATTGGCATCAGACTCACAGTAATCCTCCTGCCTCTGCCTCTAGGTCGCTGAAATTAAAGATGTGCACCATTGGCCAGATGGTGGTGGCACACTTCTTTAATCTCCACACTCCAGAGCCAGAGACAGGCAGATCTCTGAGTTTGAGGACAACCTGGGCTACACAGTGAAACCCTGTCTTGAAGGAAGAGGAGGAGGAGGAGGAGGAGGAGGAGGAGGAGGAGGAGGAGGAGGAGGAGGAG